AATCCCGTATAGATTGGATTATGCAAATATCCTGTAGTTGTCAATGCAGTGTATTGTGTAACCCACATATAGAAGAATATGAAAAGAGAAATGGTGACCACATCCATGATCACAAAATGTGATACATGACATGTCACTTCACTCTCTTTAAGCAAGCAGGGTGCATGTACAACCAAGCCATATCTAAAGAATCTCAAATTGTGAAAATATCAGAGTCGATTATTAGGGAAGCTTGTATTTAATGATAGGGAGGTATTTTATGCAAATGTAAAGCAGTTTCATCAAAACAGCAAGAGAAGAGTTGTTTTTTTCTGTTACTATAGCTGTGGTATCTGAAGTGAGGGATCAATTCCATATACAGATGTTCCTTTTTAAAATTCATAAACATAATAAAATTGCAATGCATGGATCGATTGATCTTTTTTAGTGTTATATTTTACTGAGAGAAGCTGACTTACTGCAATAAACCAATGAGAGATACAGGTAGATGTAGAAGGAGACTCTAAATATAGTTTTTAGAATATGCTGTATCCTTCTCACTGCGGTCATTTAAGGGGGGTATTTTTGATTTAACAGGAAATTTGTAAAGGAAAAGTCCCGTCATTTCACTTTGTTTTTATGTAACCAAGAATTAATAGTTTACACATTGAGCTGCCATATTACATCTGACAGAAACCCTGGCTAGTCTTGAAAAATGGTAGTAAAGAACATGCAAGTAAGAACATAAACATTAATGGCTCAAACAACTTGTTTGGGTTTTAGTAGCGAGTTGATGAGAGAAGCTCACACTTCATTAAATAAGCCAGGGTATTGGCTTCAACAGCATGGCTGGTTTTCTGTTTCCACTCAACCCCACAAAAGGTTTGAATATACAGTACAGTGCATTCTCAGCACCGTAGTGCATAGAGCCAAAAAAAGAAAGAATATCAGATGCCAATTTTGTCCAAGCCCTCAAACATTTTGAGAATAACAGGATCTGTTGTTGGTAACAAAAGCTAATTTTAACTAAAGCGACATAAAAAACCAACATAACCTGCATAACCTGAGTCAGGACTACTGAAAGGAACACAATTCTTCAATAGTGACAAACTGTATCAGCTCAACATACTGTATGAATAGTCCCAACAGTGTGTATGTTTATTTGAATTTTTTTGTCACTATTTTCAGTATAAAAGATTACCCGAGAGGTTACTCAGCTCTGGTCATGAGGATGGAGAGCAATTTGTCACCATAACTGTCTTTGTGGATGTGTGAGGCGAAGCAAGTACATCCCTGTTAAAAAAAAAACTATCTCTTAGCAACTGTGACCTCTGCAGAGCTGGTTGTTAAAATTCCATATTAACAAAAAAGCAATTCCCCACCAGTTATTTTTAATTCCACTTACTTTACCTCAGAAAGAAATATGAGTAAAACACAAAGAACAGGGAATGTTGCTAGATCTTCAGTGACGCCCTCAAATTCTACACCAGATAAATTACTCTGATTTCTATCATGCCAGAAATACCTAATTCAAAATCCAGAACCTTCCTTTTCTGTAGGCTCACAAGACTCATTGCTCAGAGGGGAATCAACCAGAGATTTATTTTCTCCCTTTGGGAGTTTTTCTTTTTCTCGTTTCCATGCCCATTGGCCTACTTTACCTGTACCTGTGTTGCAACTTGTCGCAAAAGCACCTACTGTACATGCAATTAGAAAGAGATTGATAAAGCAGAAGTATTATCCAGTGTCTCCTTGAGTCACAGGTTCTTTTCTGTTTTTTTCTGGTTAGAAAGGTATAAATATTGGAGCAAAGGCTACATAGATTGACTTTTTATGTTGAATAACATTTTAGGAGTGACACGAACTGAAGCACTTTCAGAAGCAAAAAAACATAAGTATTTTTTTTTTCTGTGTGGAAATGGGAATCTCTTGAAAGAACTACTGGGAATTGTATCTCCTTATCTAGTAAAATGGATTCTCAATTCAAGTGTTATGAGCTGTGCTAGGGTAACCGCTGGGACTGCTGGTGTGCATTTTACTGCTGTTGTACCTAAACTGTTTTATCACTTACTGCAGGTCAGCTCACAACATGTCTTACCACAGTGAGGTTTTGGCAGATTTCTATAAAGGCCATCTAAAATAAACTGGGATTCAGCTGTGAGATCCTGGGTCGTGTTTTTGTACTTTTAATCTTTTACAATTTTTCAATTCTTTTTTCAATTAAAAAAATGAAATCTTACACGACTCAAGTTCAAGAAGGTACCGAAAAGGAAGCCATAAGGGAGACACTTCGTATTTTGTTTTTAGTTCGAATGCTGGAGTGTGCTGGGCTGCATTTTCCTTTTAATAATGAAATGTTGAGCTCATACAATGTCACCCCCTCTTATTCAGCTTCACCAGTTTTCAGTTTAAGATTAAACTCAGGTCAGTTTCAGTTTTCAACATGATTGTTTTATCTGATTCTCTATATTCCTCCTGGCAGTACCTGAATACATGGCTATTTGAATTTCTTACAAACATAAAATAACTTCAAATTAGAGTTTTGATACTAATGGAAAGTACCTAAAATCTATTCTGCACGAGGCACTAAAATTTGCAAAGAAACATGAATCTAATTACAAATTGCTATTTAATTCTAGAGACAAAGAGGTCTAAAATTGTGAAAATATCTGCATAATTGCTGGGTAATTGCACAATCAATTCAACATACACTGTGCAAGTCAATACAGTTGGCAAGCTGGGGCCTTAATTACTCTGTCAGATGTTAAGGAAACTGTCTGAAGAAGATTAGATAAATCAATAAAATGAAACTTATGTAAGGCAAACCAAAACATAATTCTAGTTTTCAAATGTCATCACAACAACGTGTTTTCTTTTTGTTGCAGTATCACATTGATTGAATCTTTTATGTTAAAACTATCTAAACCAGCCCAAGAATACTCCGTCTGACTTCACTATTCTAGACAATGACATTCATTGCTACAAGAATAATAATTTCTTGGATTTATGTAGTACCTTTTGTCCCAAAAATTTTCAATTCACTTTGGCATGTGCCAGTCAAGTGGAAAAGTATCTACTTCAAAAATTGGGTTTTCAGTAGCTGGGTTAGATCCTAATAAACGCAAGACAAGAGGTGATTTAGGCGACTCACTTAGCTGAGGGAATTGCTACTGTAGTCACAATCTCCCCCTCACTGTTGCAAAACTGATCTAGGGAGCAGCTACTAGGCTGCAGATGGGGTAGTGAGAGATGTGTGAAGGGAAGTCCCAGGTGTAAAATACATACATATACTCTATATAGAAGAGAAGTTGACAAAAATTAGGATCGAACCTTCAACCCAAACTTCTGTTATGAATTCTATATGGGGAAATTTGAGAAAAACCAGATTGTATAAGCCTGGAGTAGAATTCAACCAGGACACTCCTGTTAACTCTTCTGCTCTTGGGTCTTATTCAGGGGACAGCTACTAAGGACAGTGCAAAATATATGTGCAAAAATGAAGGGGTACTGTGCAATTACAGGGGCTCAGGGGAATTGTGGGGGGCTAAACATACAGGTTCAA